TAACAATTTACGGAAAAGAAAATAAAGATACGAAACTAGCAATTTATGGGTAACATAATAAAGAAGTTTAAAAATGCCACTCAGCACTCTCTCAAGCTGAACACAAAACACTCCCAAAACCGGGAAATTCATAGTGTTCTAACTCCAGAAGTCTAACAAAGGAAATACAAGAAGTTTATAGCTAAAGGGAGAATAGAGAGGGACTTCTAGGTCTGCGGACGCGGCAGATATACCTTGAAGTCTCTGGGTCACCTCGCCTCACGGATAGTATAGCTAAACAGATGAACCTGGATCTGCACAAAAAAAAATGTGCAGGAAAGGGCATGAGTACACCACAACGGTACCCAGTAAGTGCCAAGCCTAACCTCGGTCGAGTAATGACGAGGAAGGTCAGGGCCCTACTGGGGTGTGTGTATATATATATATATAAAACAATATGAAATGTGATAATATAAGTAAAATACTAACAATCAATAAAGAATAAAATCACAGAAAGAAATAACTCAGTACACAGAGATAGCAACAGGGACATCCCAGGATATCGTCCCGTAGTCCCAAATGTAAATGTGTAGAGGATCTCCCTAGATATAGTCCTGTAGTCCAAATCATAAATATGTAGGGGAATCTCTCAGAATACCGATCCGTAGTCCCAAAGTAAATATCCACTACAGGGGGATATCCCAGGATATCGTCCCGTAGTCCCAATTGTAAATGTGCAGGGGGATCTCCCGGAATACTAATCTGTATTTCCAAAGTAAACATGCAGGGGGATCTCTTCGAATATCGATCCGTAGTCCCATAGTAAATACACAACAGTCTCAAGAAAGAATCCTACAATTCTATTCAAGTTAGTATCAGGAAAATAGGAAATTTCTACTCTAAACACGCTACACAAAATCCAAGTAAGCAGTTAAAGCAGGTAAGACAGTTAAGTCACATAAGCATGCTTTCCTAAGCTAAATATGAGGCTTCATATACTAGTGTTGCTTAGTTAAAAGAAAACATAGATATTTACTTAATGAAAATAGGGATTTTCAACAATTAGCACATGTACGCACTCGTCACCTCACGTACACATCATTCATATAACAACAGTACCAAAATCCTAAGGGGAGTTCCCCCACACAAGGTTAGGCAAGCAACTTACCTCGAACCAGCTCAAAAATCAATCTGATATCACGCTCTTGCCATGAGTATCCAACTCCAAGTGGCCCAAATCAAATCAATTTAATTACATAATGTAAATAAAACTACAAGCAACTAATATAACTAATGAATTTGAAGCTACAACGAGAAATAAGAAAAATGCCCAAAAATCCTCCCCGGGTCCACGACTCGGAATCGGGTAAAAATTATGGGTTATGAACACCCATTCACTCACGAGTTCAATCGTACAAAAATCATCCCAATCTGACATCAAATTTGTATTCAAAACTCAAATTTTCCATTGAGGAACTTTTTCCCCATTTCCAAACTTCTACCCTTAAATTCCTTAATTAGATGAGAAAATTAACAATAGATTAATGTATTAGAACCAAATTAGAGTTAGAATTCGTTACCCAATAGTTCTCCTTCAAAATCTCTCAATAAATCGCCTTCTACCGAGCTCCAAATCAATTTTTGAAGTTATGAACTCAAACCCTCAAAAATTCTTATTTCTGCCCAGCAATTACCGCATCTGTGGTCAAGAGAACACTTCTGTGGTCCCGCTTCTACGGCTGGGGACCTGCACCTGTGGAATTTCATTAAATCCCCAAGCGCCGCACCTGCGCTCCATTCCTCGTAGATGCGCTCCCGCTTCTGCGGTCCTTGAGCCGCATTTGCGACCAACAACCTTCAAGCCTCAGATCGCATCTGCGGTTGCCAAACCGCTTTTGCGGTGCCGCATCTGCGGTCCAATATCCGCAGGTGCAAAAACAATAGGTTCCGCAGAAACTCATAATAGCAGAAACAAATACGGGAAAAGTAGTTGATAGGGGATCGGAGCGTTAATTCTCAAAACAATTGGCCGGATCGTTACAAAAACACTCGACGAGATCACTAAAGGGACACGACCAACAACCATTCAAAAAAAAAAAAAAAGAAAGGAAGACCTATGGGCGAAATTCCACGCCTCAGTAAACCTAGGGGGTTCGATACCACGTGCACTATTTGACATAGAAGAAATTCTCCTAGAAGCAGCGATTGGCCTTGTCATCCATATTCACCACCAAACCCTTGGTTCCTCGGTGACGAAGGTGAATCATCGTGCCCCTATAAAAATGGGGAACGAAGAGGTGAAGCATGTGTTATGGATAAATTTCCCGATCGGCCAGCTCCGTGTACTTGATAAGCATAAGGAAGAGTTTGTATACGTATGAAGAAAGTTGAGCCGGACACACTTCATAGAAGCGGCAGAAGTCCACCGCCAAGGAAGGAAGGGGAAGCGTGTATCCGTTGACAAATGGATATACGTAAAATGCACAGTAGCCCTGGCGGTGTATATGCACTATGCCACGACCCGCCGGAACTAGTTCAATGTGATCAGGGATTCTCCATTTGGTGTTAAATGACGTGAGCATCGCGGCATCCCTCATAGAAATAATAGGTTCAAACTCATCCTGAGCAGGGCTCTTGAACTCGGTCCTTGCCTTCCCTGGGCGGGGGACCACTTCATCCACCGTCGGAAAACTTTCATCCTCCACCATAGCCACTCCCTCTTCGAGTGGTGGTGTATCGTTTTCCGATACCGGGGCACCAACGACTCTATCAGGGTTGGAAGATGTACTAGCCATCTCTTTGGTTGATTGCACAAATCGGGAATGTAAAGAAAGGAAGGTAATAACCACGAGAACTGTTAGCAAAAAAGGAAATACGAGGGACTGGAGAAGAAGAAGGAATGACTTAAGGTTTTCCTGTGAACGATTGGGGGACACTGCATTCGAATGGGGAACTTTTCCTATTTATAGGGATACGAGTATTCTGGGCAGGGAAACTAAGCGCCGCCATTTTTTGAAAATAATAAAAAGGGCACGGGAAACGATGCAACGCATAGAAAACGTGCTCCATAATGACGCATGAGGAGTTTAATGACATTCTGAACTGACGTGATGGTCTGATGCAGCTCTCGAAATGTCACGTCGCTACCTCGCCACGAGGTACTTGCCCATCGCTCAAAGTGCTTAGATTTCTCACAACTTTCGAATCAATAGAGTCCGACCATCAATCTTGCCAAACGACAACCCCAATAGGGGGAGGGACTAACTGTATGGGTCGAAATATGACCAAACAAGAATTTGCGTGAAAAGGAACGGCAGTCACATGGGCCGAAGTCGTATTCGTACAACGCTATAACGACAAGCACCTTGGCCACGACCGAGGCCGTGTGCTCAAAATGCTTGTACGGTGAATTGGATGTTACGACATTTCAGAGGGTCAGTCTGTAATACAGTTAAATAACTTAGGTGCTCTGGCTAATAACCGTTGTGTAAATGAGAATACCTAGTATATATACTAGGTGTGAGAACGAAGAAAGGGGGGATTTTGACAAATCACACACTCTTTCACTAACAGAGGAAGGGAATCGGAGAATCCATCTACAAAATGAGAGAAGGTTCAAAACCTTGCTATTTATCTTCTGTATCCATCGTTACAGAATGAATAAAGACACACCCCATGGTCATTAATGGTAAATTCTTTCTTTCTTCTTTATCTTACATTGTGGAGTAACGATGTCAAGAATGAATGTAAGCTCAACGTATACATTAGATTTTTTCCATTATCTTATTGAGTTCATGAGCTTAACCTTACTCAACTTTTCTTATTTATCATCCATTAATCTAGAGTTAATTATCTTCGGCTAGGATTTACGCCTTATCCATTCATTAAATTGGTTTAACTAAAAAGGACTTAACTCTTTTTAGTCATACACTTATGTGTCATTATCTCTTTTATAAATAAGTAAATATTATCCTAATTATATATTTATAGGAAGAAGTCCCGAAAAAATATACGTATTTTTAGGGCTTGAAACATTTTTCTCAGGCCTCTTGCCATCCTTGCAAAGTTCATTGGGGACTCAAAATTTGATAGCTGCGTTTATTTTCAGCAACAATATTCTCATGTATACAGTATACGAGAATTAAGTTGCTAATTAATTACAGCTTGCAATGAACTTCCAATACTAATGAACAGTTGCTAAATACAGTTCATTAGTATTGCAAACTCTAATACTAATGAACTTCTCGAGCTGCTAGAGGAATTTATATTATGGATAGGACTGGTTCACCAAATTTTAGAATCAGATCTCATAAAAAGGGTATAGGTTAAAGTCTTTGAATATATAAGGACCCTTATTTTAGAATTTTAGAATCCTTATTTGATCAGGGTACCTTTTTTTCTTTTGTGAGCTAATTTGTTTGAAGGGCAACTCCCTTTTTGTCCACACCCCCGCCCTTGTATTCCTTTTTCGCTTGTATTATCGGAGGTATGGTTTTTGGTCCCCAAAAAAAAAGAAGAAAAAACTCCAATAATGTCTTGTGTAGTTGTCTCCTAAAATACTACTACGTACATAACGAACCTTTGCATAAATGGTGGGTTTGGTTCCTTATTCTCTCATTCATTCCACCAGTATGTGTAACTAAATTTCCTTAAAACGTCGCTGCCTCATCACAACTCTTAAATGTTCTTCCAAATTCTTTTTGTTACATGATCTAAAGCAAACCAAAATATTTCAGCTTAATCCTACCTCAAAATCGTTGCACAAAGTAACAATGACCATACTTATGAAATAACTCATCAAATTTTCCTTTCAAGCAGCTTGTGATACTTAACTCAAGCCACATAAACTTTATGACGTGTTGAAAATTTCGTGGGGCGTAGCGAGTGAGGACTTTTCAACTTGAAATTTTAGAATACCATTATCGTGCAGATAAGAGGAGGGATATGGTGCGTAATTATACTTGGTAAATAAAATCTTTACTTAAGAAAAAAAAGAGAGGAGGGATATGACGACAGAAATTAAACTGCAAGTACACTTATGTTCAAACACATCACTACTACACTTAAAAGTGCTTTTCAGATCAGCATATGATGTTAATTATCAGCATAAGGCAGACTGGATCTAATTAGAGAAGAGACTAAGAATAAATATATTGCAGCATTATGTTATTGATCTTTCAACCAACAGTTAACCATTTTCATTTAGGGGATAGCCATTGGAGCTCAACGCCATACTTCCAAGCATTGATAGGGTCTCCTGCCTTCAAATCCACCACAGAAGTATACGCTGTGCAGCCACCAACCCTAACCCTAATTCTATGAGAAGTCTTAGAAGCCACCTTCAGGTAACTGCAGCATACTGTATCTCTACAATCCTTAAATTCATTCTCAAACTTCCTGCAAGGACTGTTTAAAGAGCAGTTCAATGGGGATAAAAGAATTCTCTCTGAGCAGTTTAATAACATAACAGTATTCCGCGATGATATATTGAAGGGAGAGTTTTCATCAATTCTTAAGCCGCCTACAGAAAGATCTAAAGAGTGGCAAGTGTCTTTCTGCATGAGAGAACTAATAATAAGTCTAAATGCATTTGGGTTTATGCTGAGGATTTTGTAGTAAATTCCTTCAGCAGACAAGAATTCTAAGCTACCATTTTTGCAGTGAATTCTGTAGCTTGGATTCCCACATTTATCACTAGTACTAAGAGGGTCTGGCACATCCATGATGCCACATTTTGGACATTCAAGAATTGCTGACACACAAGTTAACGAAAAGAGAAAAAGGGAAATCAGAACTTCCATTGCTAAATCTTTTTCAATAATAGCTGAGGTTCCTACTTCTATTTACACATATTTATATGCTAACTAGTTGTTAGGCAAAAGAGTATTTAACTGCAATTTGTTGAGTGCATTATTGTCTCACAGGGGAGACGCGATGCCACCCCGAATTATCTTAGGTCGTAGCGTTCAAGAGCAGATTTTAATATTCTATTTGGACCATGATAATAGTACATAAACTTATTAGCTGTTCCTAGTACCAAAGCATTAATGCTTTTATAAGTTAATTGTTTGATCAAAAATATAAATCTTGGTTCAAATAATTAAATTTATATAAACAAAGGTTAATCCTAATTAAGAATAATATCCTTAGATCTTAATATCAGAAAAAGTAGTTGATAATCGTTTATGCGGATAGCAGTGACACTATGAGTTAAATGCTTTGAAAAATCAAGAACAGTGGTACTGTAACATATAATATTCAATGAACAATAATAAATAGCATTTAAGTAGATAAGAGGAATGATCGATTCAATCAATAAAAGGTGAAATAAATGAACCTTCCATCTGACAATGATTGAAGTGACAAATCCTAGAATAACCAAGAATTTCTAGGATCTGATGGTAAAGGGTAGATAAGAATCTCAATAAAAAGTAGATCTTTGTATTGAGTGAAGATAGAATCTTTGTAAAAGTGATATTCTTACAAATGAATCTCACGTGCTCCTCTATTTTGTCTCCTTTTTCTATTTGTATGGAATATTTTCCCAAGAAACCCTAATAGTACAAATGTAAAGAATATTCGCTAGAATATCCACTAGAATATTCTCTTTCAGATCCTATCTTGAAAACTAGCCGTTATAGCTCTATCGCCGGTACTCGACTTCGACCTTGATCCTTGTTGGTGCCTTGACTGCGGCTCTCCTCGACTCCTCGACCACAGGCTTGTGTGGGTTTCCGGACCATCTTAATTGATGACTTGAGGATCCCTCTCATAATGTTATCTCGGCCTGAATATTCTAAAGGCGAATTTTGACCCATACAGTTCCTCTTATTAAGATTGGCCTCAAGCGGGCATGATGAGCACATTATTTCATTACGGTCAAAATGATTGGGCAAACTAGCGATGTGGCCTTTCATGAACCACGGATTTTGAACGCTTCATTACATGGTCGGTTTGTTGGGGTGGTGCCGTCCATGACTCAGGATGATGTCATGATGTCATATGTCATCATGACGCGTATTCCCGATGTGTTGCTTCATTTTACGTGTGATTCCTGATTGGACCTGCCGCTTCTATTCCGGTGCCAATAATGATGAGTTGATTTTTTAGTTTTTTGATGCCTGAATCTTTATAAATAGGAATATGAGGGTATAACTCAAAAGTTTTCAGAGTTCTTGTATCAAAACCCTATATCTTCTCCCTTCTCTCCCATTGTTGTGCATTTTCCCCCTCTGTTCCACCAATTCTCATTGTTTTCAATCCTTCATTATTCGGTAATTCTTTCTCTTATGTACAAATATGTCTAATATACCTTCTGAGTCTAGCGAGGGAAGTGATGTGGTTCCTCTATTGATAGTGTTTCCCCCTCATGCGAAGAACATCCACATCGCCATCGCCGAGGATGGAGGCTTCCCAACGGTGGAGGATATAGTTCCTCATAAGCTTGATAATAGGTCTGATTTCTCAAAATTGCTTGAAGCCGACCCTAGAACCTTTAAATCAGTGATGAAAGAGGCTGATTTGGTAGAGCTTAAGGCTAAATACGGCCTCCCAACCACATCAAGTTGATCCCTACCAGGTGGGATGTGGTGTAGGTTCACCACCCTGGGTATTGTGCCTTTTACGCCTACCCCTTCTACGTCCACTACGCTCTTCATCTCCTTCCAATAGCGGAGGAGTTCTATCGCTATTACGGTGTTTGTCTGGCTCAGCTCGCGCCATACGTTTACAAACTCATGAGGATGATCACTAATTGTTCAGAGTTGGCTAGGGTTGAACTCACACTTTGACATTTGACCCACCTGTTTACCCCCATCTTTTATAAAGGGACAATGTTGAATATTTGCCATCGCGGAGGTAAGTGCTTGGTGCTAAAATGGATGATAAGGCAAACCGCCAATTCTGGCTCAACTTCTTCTTTGTAAGAACTGAGGACATTGTGTCCAATGCTGATGGTTTTCCTGAGGCTTGAAATTGTGCTCGTAAGTACATGACTTCCCTATTTGTAAGTATCTAATTTCCTGCCATATTTGTCCGTGATTCTAACCTCCCATTTTCTGCAGCTATATGCTCACTTCCCCCTTTTGGTTGACGTCATTTTCGACTGGGTGGGTTGGCTTCTTCCTCATATTGTGAGGATACGCGAGTGGTCGAGCTTCTTCAAAAGGTTTGGCCCCTATCTCCCTTCGACTAGTAAGTTATTTTTATTATTGGCTTCTCAGTTATTTCCCTTTTTGGGTATGATTTGGATGATTTTCGTTTTCCTTTGTATTTTCCTTAATTCAGCTAGGGGGTCCTCAAAGAAGTCGAAAGCTCCCGCCCCCGTGTTCGGAAAGAGGAAGATGCAAAGGCTTCGGCTTCCATCCCCTCCTCGACTATGTCCTCTTTTGCTCCTGCCCCGGTTCCTCCTTCGAACGTTGCTGCCACCACTCGTGCCTCGGCCCCTCTTGTTGGTACGTCCAATCCTGCTCTTTCTTCGGCCTATTATTATACCATCTTATAGACGAAGACGACGAGGAGCCGACACCTGGCGAGGAAGGTTTGATGCTTCGTAAGAGGAGATCTACGGATACTAGTAATGGGGTCGCCCGAGCCGTCGACATAATGGAAGGTGATTTTACCCTATGTAAGAAAACGACTATTGTCATCGGAGACGAGGCCGAGCCGGTGTCAAGATTCCGAGGTTGGTGGAGGCCGATGTTGGTGCATCTATCCCTTTTGTGATGATGGAGACTGAAGGGCCAGCTACTAGAGTTTTAGACACTTTACGGCAAGAGGAGTCGTCGACTATGCGGCTGGCTGATAATACTTCTTTCCCAGCTAATGAGAGAGGCAAAGGTATTACTGAGGAAGGATGTGAGACCGATTTGGATGTTGATACCGGCGACCTGTAGATGATGGAGGAAGGGTTTACCCAACTCGAGATAAGATTGGAGGGGTCTACGAGGACCATTGTGATTCCTATGGATCATGATTTGCTGAAGAATACGAAGGACGTGGTCCCCAGCCTCGGCCCCCTTTGTTCCGAGATAGAGGGCAAGACCCTTAAAGAGTTGGATGATGTTACTCTAGCCAGGAGCATTGCTGGTCTCACCCTTAGAGTGAGTGCTTGGCGTTTTGTTCTTCTCTTTTTTTTGTCTTTGTTTTTGTTTTTGACTCTTTTCTTTTCTTTTTCTAGTTGCAAATGCTAATTTTGGAGATCGAGAGTGCCCGAAGGGAGGAGATGCATAGGGAATTTTTTATGAGATTGAAAAACAAGTACTTTCAGTAATGATGCAAGCACCGAGAATTTCATCGGTGACTTGATGAGGAGGATGACATGCAGGCCTTCGAGACAAGTTGAAGGAGAAAGATGATGAGCTGCTGAAGTCTATTGAGAAATGCAGCATCCTCGAGGGGATGTTGATGAGTAAGTAAGAGGAGCTTAAAGTCAGCAAGGGCGTGGAGGCCTAGTGTAGTGACCTTCAAGCGCAAGTGGTCGAACAATGTAGGCAATTGGAAGAATGTTGGCTTTAGCTGGAGGGCCTTAGTGGTGAAGTTTCTGAGAAGCAGAGCGAGCTTGAGAAGGCGGAATCTTTCCAGTTGGATGTCAGAGGAGACTGGAGATGCTTGAGCTAGCGAACAACACCCTTCAGGCCGAGCGAGAGAACAACCAGTCCACGACAAAAGATAAAGGAGGGCCGACTAGAGGGGAGGGTCAGAGAGCTGGAGAAGGATAATGCCCTTCATCATGGTCGGGTGGTCGCATTGGAAGCTGAAAAGGCTCAACTGCCTGCACACCCCTTTTCTTCTCATACTTCAGAATTTCCCAACGCTCCTTGGGCATTGTATGAGGAATGGATTCACGTTGAAGCTAAATTGGATGTATATCGAGATTTGCATAAGGCGGGATCCGTTTCCGAGGTCGCCCTCGAGGATGTTCGTGTTAAAGTCCGTAAAGCTCGAGTCACTTGCAGGTATGATCTTGCTACTCCTAAGGGCGATAAGGGGGATTATAAAGGAGTCGATCATCTTGAAGAGTATGTTTGGTACAATACCTCTTATCCCGAGGGCGTGGACGGCGTAAGTAAGTTGACCAGGGTGGCCAAGGTAGTGAAGGCGCAAAAGGTCATGATTGTGGTGATTAGTAGTTTTTCTTCTTCTCTTTTTTGTAAGCGTTTGTGAATTTTTGGCGGCGTCTTCACAGGCCTTTGTAAAAAATATTTTAAGTATAAAATGCCAATTTTTTTTTGCATCTGCTTTTTTTCCTGTGGTTTGCTTTCTGTACTTGTATGTTTTTTGCTTTTGTTGCTTGGCTGCCTTGGCTCTTTCTTTGTGGGTTGAAATATGGCCGAGGTCGTTGACTTGTTTGGTCGTGATCATTCGCTAAATTGTGGCCGAGGGTTAATAGGTGTTTGTTCGAGCGAGGTCGAACATAACATTTTATTTAAATTGCGGCCGAGGGCCTGTATATGCTAGTTCGAACTAGGTCGAATATATTCTGAATTTAGTTGTGGCAGAGGGTCGGTGAGTGTTGGTTCGAACAAGGTAGAACATGTCTTGAGTTTAGTTATGGAAAAGGGCCAATAGGTGTTAGTTCAAGTGAGGTCGAACGTAATCTGAATTTGATTATGGCCGAGGTCCAGTAGGTGTTAGTTCGAACAAAGTCGAATGTAACTTGAATTTAATTTTAGCCAAGGGCCAGTAGGTGTTAATTCGAACAAGGTCGAACGTAACTTGAACTCGAGAAAGATGTGTTGATAAGTGTAAAGTTTATTCCCTTGACATTGTTGCTTTAGTTACATACTTGGAGAAATTTACAGATTTTT